GATGCCTTGATCCAGTAATGTTAAAGAAAAAACTCTTTCAATTTGCGGCTATTGTTTGAACTATAATCTTCCTCTCTGAGAATTATTTCTGAACCTTCAGATAATAATTTTCTTCAGTGTTACTCCTTTGGTTTCATTTTATTAGTCGTATAACTTAATTTTGTTCACATAGTTTTAAGTAATGTTAATTTTAAATTATATTCTAGCATTATGAATGAATTTATTTCTTATAAAAATTCATTTCTACAGAGAGGTCATGAAAATTCACTGCAATTTGACAACTTGGGCACATGCAAATGATGAGAAAAAAATTTGAGTTACTCATGTGGGCTTATTTCAATCCAATCTGGATGGGTAGTGAATCCATAACTTCACATGGCAATCCTATACTCCAAATTGCTAATCATGATGCAGTTTGGAATCCAACCTTCTTTTTTTCCATTTTTGGCTTGTTTTTAGTGTTGAAACAAGTGTTTTTAGCCAATCCCATGAGCATCAAAATTTCAGATGTAGTATAAAGCTATAAGTAACATCACAATCCCTCAATTTTTCTGTCCCAAGGAAGATCAAGCAAATCCCTCTTAGGCCAATCCAGGCAATGGCATGTTGCTAATGAAGTGAAAAAGGGTCTTGGAAGTTGGAACAATGAATTTCCCTTCTGACAAAGTGCATCTAGACACATTATTTGGCTTGATAGTTAAGTCAAAGTCCATCTTTTTATTTTATTCTTTTTCTTGTTTTAGGATGGGAATGTGGTAATACGTACAATACAAATGGTAAATCATCATTCATGCAAAAATGTTAATGGCATAGAATCTTAACATAATGGGAGAAACAGTGCATGAGAGAATTTTCTCTTTATTCATCTGAGGCGATTTAATTATAAATTAGTTAGGTTTAATATAATTTTTACATCTTCAAAAATAACACTAACAAAAATAAAATCTTAAGATAATACTCTATTATAATCATTTTAGAATATCAAAAATTAACTTTTTAACAGTACAAATAATTAAAATTTTAACCTTTCAACCTTAATATTAAGTTAAAACTTTTAAATTAATAATAACAACTTGACTAAATTCTTGTCGGCACGAAATCACACACAATAGATAATGACCATTTCCTTCTGTCAAATCCCTACTTGCAGTTTTAGGGTTTAGGATCTCCAATAGCACATAGCCATGTGGAGCCCATCATAAGGCTGGGCAGAGTAATGATGACAAAGAAATTAATTTGGGTATAAGAAGCCCATTTCTATGATGTTGAAGCTGGGCTTTGGCCCAGTATAATATGGACTTTAGACTGGATTCTGGAGATGGAAAGTGCTGTAGCAGTTTTTGGGCTCATCCTCTCACATTTCCTTCGGAGTCTGTACACAGTACAGTCCCGGCAGCCTTCTTCTAGCTCTGATCCACATCCATGTGGGTTCACTGGCCCACTGACTCCCACATTTAACATTTTTACGCATCGGTGACTGTAGTGAAACAGATTACTAGGGAATTTTTTATTATTATTTATTTTGGTTGCATTGTGTGAGGTAATCATCTCCCATCTCTTATCTCATCTCACTTGCATATAATGTGACTTCATCTGCATAAAATGCGATTCGAATTCAGGATTTTTTACTTTTAAAAATAAAAGATAATCACTGAATTATTGAAGTCGTTGCCACTGAAAATCTATTGGTCCTACAAGATATTCATGCCTACAATTATTTTTTTATTATTATTAGTTTAAAAAATAAGTATTAGTCTGTATTATAAAAAATTAAGTAAAATAATATTTTAAAATTACATCATCTTAATAAAATCTTATTGTTAAAGACTAAAATATCTTATTTATTTTTAAAGTAGATATAAGAATGTTTTAATCTTTTTTCACAATATTTTATTAAAACGATATAATTTTAAAGTATTTTTTACCTAAATTTTTATAAGTCTGATAGATAAACATTATGTTATTATTATTATTATATAATTTTATTTTTATATTATTTTATTAGAGACATTTAAATAATTTTATAAAGCAAATTACATTCAATTCATCTTATAAAATAATTTTTTGTTATATACTTTGGACTATCAAGGTATCCACAAGCAAATTTTCGTGCATGTCAAGTGTAATTGTCGGTTTGGTAAATTAAGATATCTAATTTTTTGAGTGTTAATTTCAAATTTTAGGTATTAAATCTAACTAATAAAATTACACTTATTTATTAATAAATTTAACCTTTTAAATTTATTCATGCCAACAATATCAAAACCCCTCAGTGATCGGTAGGGTCCTCCAGGAAAAATGGTGGATTTTTTCAGTTCCATAGAGTTCCCATTCCTCTTTTTCTTTTTCTTTTTTTTTTTTTAAGGGAAACTCAACAATAACAGAGCACTTGGGAATGAGAAAAGGGAAAGAATGGATAACCAACATAGAAAATGAAAAGGATTAGGTAGAAGCAACCGGATAGAAATTGCTTGCCAATTTAAGTATTAAACTCTCTTTTATATATTTATATATATATTAACCTCTCGATCTTTAAAAATCACATTAATTTCTGTTTAATTTGAAGTTGAATTGGGTTAAATCCTATAAAATGAGAAAAACTCTCTTAATATCTATTTTTTCTATTTATAATACTCAAACTCAAAATTTTATTTTTAAAAAAATTGAATTTTTTACATTCAAAATAACAACTTATTGATATATATTTTTTATCTTGATTATACACTGAAAACAATCATTTTTTATTTTTTATCTCACTCCACTTATATATCATACGACTCGAATTCAAGATATATATATATATTTAAAATAACTACTAAATTTCTTAAATCATTAGTAACAAATTAATATATATATTTTTGATCTTATCAACTTATTAATATTAAACTCTCTAATTACATTACATTAGAAACAGCAGTGCAAGTGCCCAAACGGGTGCAAACTGGGCAAGTTTCTTTCGCAACCCTCAAACTTAAAAGCAAAGTTTTCTTTATGAGCTTGCGACGCGGTCAAATCAAAACGGACGCGCTTTTGCACAACGCGGAATATACTGTCACGTAATTACATCCCCCACCCGTTGACGCCAACACACAACATCAAGTCATCAGCCTTTTTGGGTCTACGACAAAAAGAGTCCACCAAAGTCTTATTATCTTATCTTAAATAATTAATATTATATATATTTTTTAAATTATAACTTTTGTTCTGTAATAAATTTAAAAAAATATAATAATTAATAAAAATAAAAAATATAACATTAATGATTAAAAATATTATAATAACATCACCCAAAGTCTACGTAGGTACACTAAACACAATCCACAACAACAATGATACTTAGTATTTATTTGATGCAGTTTGTGTGAATGATTTCTTAACTTTAAACACGCAAGTTACACTAAATATTATAATTAGTAAAAAATACTATAACTTCTCACAAACTAACCCTTTCTTCATTTTATTGTAAATCTCAAAAGTATCAAATTGATGTTTTTGTGGGTTCTTCTTATTTAAGTTTTAATGAAATAAACATATTATTTTTATTTTATTTTTTTTATTTATAAAAACAAAACTTTTACAACAATTTCTTTTCGATAGAAAAAAGCTCCAATTATACTAAACGGGCACTTAACGTATGATGTGGGATTATAACTAGAAAAACACTTTCATAGTCGAAATTAAAAAAGAAAAAGAAAAACTTAACTCACAAGACATGTATGAAATTGTCATGTTCTTACCTCAGAAGTTATTACACTTTTATGTTAAAGCTAATTAGTAATTAGCAATGTAAACCTTGGATACTCGCCTTTTTTTTTTTTTTTTATAGCATGTTTTGTTTGTAAAACATAAAAAGAGTACTACTGCTTTTGTTTTAATTTTTTTTTTTTGAGATGTAATAATTAATCAAAGTAAAAAGATCAAAATGGATATTATTACTAATAGGCTAAAACATTATACATACAGCATCCCTCTCTTGTTTTTTGAGATGTCGCAACAGTGTCATAAGGTGCATCATCTACAACTTCAAGGCTTATATCTACTATTAAATAAGTGTAATATTATAAATCAGATTAAAGATTTAAGTTTTAAGATCAATACTTAAAAAATTTAATTTTTTAAAATGTATTAGGCTAATGTAATGAGTGTACTCTTAAAATCCCTCTAAGATGAATTAGTTTCAAAAACATGCAAAGATTAATAAAAAAGTTCCATGGCCATAGATAAAATTTAAAAAAAAAAAGGAAAAAGAAAAAGAAAAAGAAAAAAGTGCATCATCTACTTTGGTTAATTCTCTTTGAATATTCACCCAAAGATTTGAACCCTAATACACTGTACTAAAAATAATTTTGAAAAAAAAAATTATAGAATTAAAGTACATCATTTACCCTAATAAAATTACATCTAGGCATCCTCTTATTAGTATTATTATTGGTAAGGGCGTTTTATAATTTCGGTGATTACTGAGGGGCATATAAGGTAAAACAGAATGAAGAATTTGGTCCCTGAACTATTGTACGGATCCTAATTTGATCGTGAACTAAAAAAATCACTGATTTAATCCTTAAACTATTGTACGGATCTTGATTTGGTCCTTGTTATTTATTAATTTAACCCAAAGTTGACCATTTTATACAAAAAAACAATTGACATATCCGTTACTTAATGACAAAAAATAATAACTTAATAACAGAAAATAATAACTTAACAATCATATGTCACGTTAATAATGAGACATATCAACTATTTTTTGTGCAGAAGAACCAACTTGAGGTAAATAGGTAAACAATGAAGATCAAATCAGGAATTCGTACAATAGTTTAGATTAAATTGGAGATCCATACAATAATTTAGGGACCAAATCGAATACTTTTTAGTTAAGGGACCAAATCAAGGGTATATATAATAATTCAGAGACCAAATTGAGGATTGTACCAAAAATTAAAGGAAGCTAAACCCCGTACCAGAAGTTCGGTGGGGAGTCTCTCTCTCACTGCTCGTTTCCTCGTCATTTCTCCGTTATTTCTTGGCTTTTCCTCCATCCGTCTAGGGTTTTTATAATTATATATCAATTCGATTCAGGTTTTGTGGTTAGTTACAACGAAGCCTGAATCCAATTCACGCTCTTGTAATTCAACCCAAATCCTGGAGGTTTTCCTTTTCTCTCTTTGAATTCGGAAATGTCTTCCAATACCTGGACCTCTCGTTTCTCTGTTCCCTCTTCCTCCTCTTCTTCTTCCTCAAGGCGGTGCCTGAATCGATCTGGTGGGTTTTTTTTCTTTTTTTTGCTGGGTTTGTCTGAAGAGGAGAAATGGATTGATTTTTACGAGGAATTTGAGATTTTTTTTGTTTTGTTTTGTTTTGTTCTTTAGATCTGTTTTTCGTAGGAGGTTACGACGAAGTTGATGGAGATGATGATTTGAAAGCGGAGTTTCTGTGTCCCTTTTGTGCTGAGGATTTCGACATTGTTGGGCTCTGCTGCCACATCGATGAGGAGCATCCTGTTGAAGCCAAAAATGGGGTATCGTTTCTCTCTTTCATTTCTCTTTTCTCGCTTTTTTTCGCTCTCTTTTGTTACCTAACTATGATTGATCGTTCAGGCTTCTTGAAAAGGGTTAGCTTTTTCTGTTTCTCTTAAAGTTATATGATCATGACCAGATTGTTAAAAGTTTAGCATATGGATTTCCATAAAAAGTGCATCTTTTTCGTTCAGTTTATTTAGGTTTCTGTTTGTTTCTTCTTCTATTGGATGAACAAATGAGCCGTAAGTGAAGTTTTCTTCAGTTTTTTTTTCTGCTGTGGATGGTAATAACTGGGATAGGGAAAAGAAATATGAAAGTTTTGAGGTATATAGAAGTGATGGTAAAAGGTGAGATTGAGGAATGGCATCACTTTGATCTTCTGGCTATGGCTGCTAAGTAATGCTTCTAGTTGGCAATCATCATAATCCAAAAAAATTGTCACATTTTCATCTGTTGGTTGGTATTTTCACTATGTACAAACAATGATTTAGGGTCGTGTGGAAAGTTTGCTCATCCGTTTCTGTTTGAATATCTTTGTACTTTCAGGTTTGTCCAGTTTGTGGTAAAAGGGTTGGAACAGATATTGTTGGCCACCTCACCATGCAGCATGGAAGCATTTTAAGAATATCCTTTTTGTGAAGTGGAACTGATTGTGTTTCTATCTTGCTCATGTCCTATCTCATTTTTTGTTCTCATAGTGGGATGAATACTTTCCCCACTCCATATCTTACAAAAAAAATACCTTCCCCGTTCATAAGATTCATCCTTCCATCAATTTTGAAGGAGATTTAAGGAGTCAATGAACTGTTTTTTCTGTCTTAATACTTAAAATCTTTGCATGGTTATACATGTTGAAGTGAATTGTGATTTTATTAGGGGCTTAGACATTTTTTCTCTCTCTCTCTCTCTTTTTTTCCTTTTTTTTGTCTTGACCACCATATGATTGACTTTTTGAATTGTTTTTTGTGTCTCCATTCTCATCTCATAAAAAGTTTCCTCGTGTGCTCTCAGGTCTTCATTTGTAAATTAATTCTCTGGTTTAACTGTATGCTAGAATTGCCATGATGAGCATTATGTATTGTTCCTTAACCAGATATTACGTGCAGCGCAGGCGGCGATTACGGAGGGTTGGATCCAATTTGACATTTTCTATGTTGAGAAGAGAATTGCGAGAAGGGAATTTGCAAGCCCTTCTTGGGGGATCCTCATTCCTTGCCCCCTCTTCCAGTGCAGACCCTGATCCGTTATTGTCATCATTTATATTTAGTCAGCCCTCAGCTAATGAGCCTGTAAATGTGCAGCCTCTTTCTATAGTTGGAGGAAGCTCTGTAAATGAAAGCTCAAAGAAGGAATTGCCGCAAAGGTATGATTTCTGGCTTCCTTTTATTTTTCTATATCTTTCCTCTTAATCTCTGGAAATTGTGATTAGGCCATTGGTGGTTTCCATTTATGTAATCTAAAGAACAAATAGATATAGTCAATTAAGGTGTTTTACAATTGTGTCTACCTTGGTGACACTTATTTTAAACAATTGTGATTTAACTTCTAAAAGTAATAAAACAATTCCTTAGTGTAAAGTTGTCAATCTTGTCTTTCTATTTGGTCAAATGTGGGATTTTTAGATTGACTATTTTATGTTGGTTGGTTGAAATTTGGAAAATTTTATTTTGTCACAGTACAATTATCAATTAACAGTTCTTATTAACATTCATTTTTGTTTTTATCTTTTTTTTGGTAGACTAGGTTTGCAATGAAGAAAGTAGAGTATTCAGCCAAATATTTGATGGCTAATATTGATATACACTATAGACTAGGATTGCACATATTTAATAGCTACCGATGGTTGGTTTTTTCAGTTCTTCATGAGAAAAAATAGATCAAAGTGACTACCATTATTTCATTTGCATTACTAAAGGACCAAGTTACTGCTTTCTCTTGCTTTTCTCCCCTGCTCTGTGTATCATGTAGGATTGTCATATAAAATAAAATGTTATATAATGGGGTCTTTCTGTTCTAACTGTACTAAAATGTTTACAGAAATTCCCAACAGCCTCCGCTGTCCGACAAGGACCATAAAGAGAAGGCTCAGAGGAGTGTGTTTGTTCAAGGACTGTTGCTGTCCACTATTCTTGATGATGACTTATAAGTTATCAATCAAATATTTGTAGTGAATGTGCCCGGTTAGGTGTGAGAGTAAAAATATGAAGAGGGAAGCAATGTTAGCTTTAGCTCATCACACAAGTGATAATAATCAGATCAGAACAACTCTGTTCTCCTATATTGTATGTAGTGCTTTTTGTGCATAATTAATGGAAAGATGGAAGAACTTATCCTACCTTTCTGTGTGGGGGTTATCTCATTTTTACACCTTCCTAGTTAAGTTACTGGGTTCATCAGGCGATTTGCTAAATGCATAAATTAGTGGGATATTAATGGTGCTGTGGAGTTGATTGTTCCATGCAAGAGGGGTAAATTTTGCAATTCATTGATCAATTAAACAAAATTTGAAAATCAACTTGTGTGTCCTGAGTACAACCGTACAAAGTAACTTCCTAGTCAAGAAAACTATGTTATAGTTTCTTAAAAAACAAGAAGGTTTAACCCTTAAAAACATCAGTCTGGGATTATAAAAGACAGGATCGGAAAAGATAAATTTCCTTAGTCAATTAAGGATGCACAAGGTTTCATTAATGATACCTTTGTCTTTCCCACTCTGAACTGATGGTTTAAGTGCAGTCTACCTTGAAAACCTACGTTCCGAATGCTTATTTTTTAAAGATTTGTTTAATCTATATCTTTTCATTAAATGTAAAATTTTTAATTAATTTTATATAAATTTTCATATTAAATTCATATTTTTTTTTTTATAAATTTCAAATATTAATATATATTATATTTTAATTTTACAATTTATATATATATTTTTTTGAGGATTACAATTTATATTTTATTTTAATTGAATTTAATTTAAACTTTTATGTAAAATTAATTAAAAATATTACATTTAATGAAACTTAACTTGTGCTTTAAGGGCACAGAATAACAAATTCCATTTTCTAAACTAAAACCTATCATGATAATGAAACATTAAGAATATTGCCCTATAAACATAAGCCATGATAATGAAATATGAAAGCAGAACACCCACAAAATAAGCTTTTAAACGGAAAGGAATCCATGCATTCTCCATTCAGGAATAGAAGGACTAAATACAAGCTTCCCATGTGGTGAATTTTCTCTCAGAAAACATCAACCATTGGGTTGGCTTGAACTTAGAAATAAGCACTAGACATAATAATGATGATATATAAAGTATAACTCTACAGAAATGTTATTTAACCTCTACCAAAGAACAACTCTTTGTATTCAATATCAAATTTTCTGGATCTGTTAATACACAGTAGCGTGTTACACATGGTGAGCAATCCCTGAGACTGAAAACAAGAACATGATAACTTTGGAGGTCATAACTTATCATATACACAAATACTGGAAAAATTTTCATCATCATCATTGAATAACCTTATTCAGAAGTTGCAAAATTAAAAAACTAACATGGAATAGCAACAGAAATATTGGCAGGAGTGAGATATCAGTAACCGTACTGCTTCCAATGTCATGAATTTGGAAGCAGCATCTTTCAACCAGCAATGTCAAAGACCAAGAAACAGATGAGGCAAAGCTACTACATATCTAAAGGCTAAGGCTACAGCCAAGAAGAATGTAGATAATAATCACTCAAAAACAAACTAAAAAAGGTAGACAGACACTTTAGCTGGCAATTGCAAGGGTGCTCGGAATTTATCAGGTTAAAAGGCCAGTTCCCTTGCAGTTTTAGAGCCATCCTCACCTCCAGCGTGAATTGTTGGAAACAAAGAACGTATAATCAGGATGATTAACTCGCAAAAGCCTTAGCCAGTTATCAGCTTTTTGCAAAAGAGAATTAGCTTGCTGACATTTGTGAACTCCATCAGGATTCCAAACAGAAGGTTTGAACTTATAGAAGGCCAGACCAAAAGTAGGCAGTGGTAGCTTTAAGGACATCTCAGCACCACGAAACTCCTTGACAGAACAACCATGGATGGGCAATCTGTCCGCCTTTGTGTCTGGTCGAAAACAATATGTAAACAGATTATAACCAAAGGAGCAACAACATTCAACCTTTATGTAAACATACAGAGAGATGGTAATAGACTTACCATGTGAGGGTGTTGATAAAGAATGGAAAGTTAAAAAACAGGCATCCAAATTTTGGAGTGTTGGACCAGTTGGTATTCTGTATATGGGGTACCTTCATTAGAGGAAATGAAAAAGAAAAGAGAAAATAAGAACACTAGGCTTAAAAACAGATTAGCAACGGACAAGAGCAATAACACCATCAATCTCTAGAACATGAGGATGTACCATGCCACAGAAATCCAACTTGAATGTGATAGCTCACAACTCCTGTATGTCCTCAGTTCTGGAAAACGTGATGCAAGAAAGGAAATCTGCAGGAAAAAAGGTTATTACCTTACGATACAAAAGAGTAGCAACAAAGCAATCAAAGAATGATGAACTTGCCTTGTCAGCCAAAGGTTCTCGAGTAAATGGCAGCGCATGCTCCAAGTATTCAAATATAAGCTGATCTGAAGGATTACATATTTCGCTTTCATCGCTTGAGGAACTCGCAAATTGTCTGCTTTTCAAGGACTGTATATCCAATCTATGGATATTCACATCTGCACTATTATGTTGGCTCCAAGCCCCCTGAACAACATTGTTAGCTTGTCTCCCCACTCCATAATCACTGCTATCATCACTACTTGTCTCCCTGGATGATTCAGTGTCACTCTCCTCACCAGGCCTCCTAGGGGAATGTACAAGAAAGAATGAATGACACAACAGATATGAAATTGATCTCCAGAAATATATCTCTGACATTTCAACAACTTCAAATAATAATTTTAAGAAAGCAATTACAGTAATTAACTGATGAACTAGTTATCTTCCACTTATCTTTCACTCTCACAAAGATTATGGACCAGATTATCATATCTGATCAAACATAAGGGTGAAGCAAAATTATTATTATTATTTTGGTATTCACAACCTTACTTGTTTTCAATGAATGGTGAGACTCAAGCAAATAATATAAAAGCTACCAAAGAAAAGCAAATTACATTTCTAATAAACTTGAATTAGGTTATTAGATATAAGTTTTATTTGAGAAGGAAAAGATGGCCAGGTTCCATTGCATTGCACAGGGATCCAACAGTTAGAAGTTACTGGCATTTCAATTTCTAAATCAAGTAAACCACAAGAGAGATAAAGACTGAAAAGTTTGGCTAAGTCAAGTAATTTCAACAAAAGAAAGAATTAAAAATCTACTAACCATGTAAACCACAAGATCTCAATTTGAGTTTTTGACTGTCAAAAACCTTAAAAATGCTAATGCAGATATATATATATATATATATATTAAAGTATATGATTTAATGCATTGAATTTCTACAAAAGACGTATCTTAATTTTTTTCTTTTTCTAAGGAGTATGACAACTGTTTAAAAATGTATCACATGAAGGAATTTTCTTTTTTAAAAAATAAAATAAAATAAGAGAAAAGAAAAACAGATGATAGTATGATAATAAGTAAGAAAACAAGATGATGGCTTACCTCAGCCTTGGGGTGGATCTTGATGGATCTATATACAATTGCATGCCAGACAAGTATGGACAATAGTATTGCATTACAGAGTCACCCCCATTCAACAAAAGTGGAACCCCAACTCCATATGCACTCCACTCCTTAAAAGACTCCCATAAATCCCCTAGCAAAAAATATGGCTGAAACTCTGGTTCCCGCTCATGGCTCCTCCATCCTTTCATGCTTGTCTATAGATCATCAAGTTAAACCAATAAGAAACAAAGCCATTATAAACATTATTTATATATTCCTACTTTTTACCTATAAATTCTTTTATTGGAAGTTAGCATTCGTTCTTGAAGAAATGTAAGATCTTATAACTGCTCCAGAGTCTAGTTGCATCTAGAAGAGTATTTTAATACTGGATTCTAATAATGAAAATTGTATGATGAAATCTTTTTTTTATTATTATTATTAAAAAAAATACCTTTAATCTTTTGATTCACCTTCTTGTTTCATTTTCGCTTGGTTTGATTCTTTAGTTAAACTAGTTGACAGCCGCCAGAGATTTTAATTAATGGATCCTAATAATGGAATTCCAAAGCTCAAACTTTGATTCAAAAGAATATGCATTTGCAGCATTTCCAAGATTCTCACAGCAAACAATCAGACCTTTCTAAAATTCTTAAAGCCATGAAACTTGTTAATCTCAGAATCCTAATTAAAGCATAACCCTTTGTTAATGCCCGTTGATTCCCACATTCCAATCTTCAAACACATGAAAGAAAACCCAAGAATCAAAATCGAAACTTCAATCAATTTACAAGAAAAGGAAAAAGTCTTTTTCTCAATCAATATCAGCATTCATTTACCTTAGGCAAGTACTGAGCCGGTACGACGGGAGTCGTAAACTCCAAGAACCGATCCAAATTCGTCGAACTGCTATTATTACCAACATTCCCATTCGACAAAGACGGCGACGACGTGGCGCATTCATCGGGATCCGTCCTCCTCTCCACCGAACTCTTCAAACTCACCCCTTTCTCTCCCCCTCTCTGCTCTTGCTTCTTCTTCTGCTGCTGCTGCTGCTGCTGCAACAACTGTAACTGCCTCCTCACCTGCGGAGGATTGTAAAACCGACTCTCACCACGACTCCGCGCAATTGAAACCCCTCCTGCTCCTGACATTGTACGAAACACAGAATACAACACCGGTTCCGACGAGAAGCAAAGTAAAATCTAGGGTTTTAGTGGATTGAAGATAAAGGGGGGGAGAAGTGAGGGAAGAGAGTGTATTAAATTGGTCAAATTTAATATTTAATTAATGAAATAAAATAAGTAATTAACATTTACTTGCAGATGTGGCGAGAAGATGAAGATGAAGGCCAAGGTTGCGGGGGGTGTATATATTTTTTTCCTGGTTAAAAAGGAAGTCCAGAAGTTTCGAGAAAAACTTGAGTTTGGTTTTCTACTTTGTCGTTTATTCCAGACAAGTCCCTGGTTGTGGTTGGTTTGATATTTTCAGTCATGATTATGCTCTCCAAAATCCAAAATTTGGATTTTAACACTTAATCTTTTTGTTTGCATGATAATTTCATTTTAAGAAAGAAATTTTTTGTTTTTAAGATTATAGAAAAAAGGTAAACATTTCCATTTCTTCTATTCTCCCTCTTGAATATTTCTCTATTTAGATCAAGATTTGGATGATCTTGGTTTTTTCAGTCCATGTTGTGCAGATTCTACTTTATTTTTTTACCATATTTAAATACATATAAATGCACCATAGAAGGGAATTATCTTCACTTCACTGTAGATATATATATATATTACTTAAATTCAAAATGGCCCTTTATTCTTATTGAAAAAAGGTTGTCACTTAATCATTTAATTTTAAGTTTGTCCAATATTAATTGTCATTTTTGTAATTTTTAGGATAGACAAATATTTTTTTTTCTTACTTTAACTTTATTATTATCTATTTATTTTGATTAATTATCCTACTACAAAAAGTCTCACTTCATCTTTCAGCTTTTTTCTTAGAAGCAAATATATAAATTATTCTCAAATCCTTAATTTGAAGGGAAAAAAAAAAAAGAAGACAATTTATTTTGGGATAGAAGGAGTAACATGTTAGTTGTTTTTTTTAACCGATATCCTTAAAGGTATCTTTTTTTGTTATAAATGTATCTTTTTGTTATAAATGTATGTAAGAAAATATAAAAAATTGATATTAATTTTAATATCATTGTCAAGTAAATAAATTTAATTAAACAATTAATAAATTGAATGTCAACTTTTTGTTTTTCAAACATAAATTAAAAAAATGTATTTATTATATTTTTAATGTATCTTAGGTGTGAATTAAAAAAAGTGCTATATAGTGAGGATATCTTAAGTTGAGAGGTTGAATATAGAATAAAAAAGATGTGATAAATAAAACCATAAAAAATGATAAAAGGACAGCACATTTTGAAAGATGTAATATGAAGTTATATGGAAAAATTTTTATGATTATTATAAAAAGATTTTGTGTGATTGAAATGAAATTGAAGCTGGAATCCAATTTAATCTATTGCCCATAGGATATCTTCATTTTGTTTGGAATATTCTTTTTTTTTTTATCTGTTTATTTGATTATTTCCTGTTTTTGTCTATTGACTATTGGATTGGACCTAACCCATTGCAGGAGGACATTTGAAAACATAACTCAATTAAGACGGGCCTTGCCCAACCAAAATAAGTGGGACCTACTTCTCGAATGCTTATATCTAATAGTCTATATACTGATATACTCCGTCTCCATAAGTTGTGTTTCACTTCCACAACCAGTCGATTTTTAAGACTCGCTTTCAATCATAGAGTTGCAAAATGTTATAGAACAAGATTGTTCCAACATTTGAAAAACATATTAATAAACTAAATAGTTTAACAGTTATTTCCTTTTTATAGAAATAAGATATTTTGAATTTTTGTTTTTTGATTTTAGTTGTACAATATCAGGCAATCATCTTTAATTTCTTATTCCATCCCATTCGTATCCATGCGACTTGAACTCAGGACCTCTTACTTTCAACAGAATGAGATGACTACTGAGTTACTTAGATTGTTCGCAGAGATTTTGAATTTGAATTGTATAATATATAGGTAAAGTAAGTTAAGAAATAAAAAAAATTATTTCATATTATGCAACTTAAAATAAAATATAAAAAAAAACAATTTGAAAAACATGTCATAGGAAATTATGCAATATAAAGTTATCTTTGCCATAGTTAACCAACTTGATTATTCTAGATCATCCATCTCTCTCAAGGGTCATAAAACTTTGTATATTGGCAACCTGTTGAAATTTAAATATTTTAATAAAAAATAAAATAATATATTTTATAAATTAAATTTATTTTTTTATTAAGTACTTTGTCAAACTAACCGTTATAGGTTAATTATCCTACTTAAGGGCACATTATTACATAATAATTGCTCAATTTATTCGTATCATTAACTTACAAATGAGAGTTATAAGACCATTAATCCTATAAATAGGGCTTGTCTATTTGCTCAAAAAAGGGTGTTCGTCCACATTCTCCTAATTTTCTTACTTTACTTTATCTTCAAAATATTTTTGGGTAAAAAGGTGATTTGAGTTAAGTGATTCTATGGGTAGTGCAAATCTATACAGTGTCATTATAAAGCTATAGCATTCTGGGGGTGACATGCTAAATGCATCTCTGTTGCACCGGTTGATTTGCTCTACGTAGAGGCGTAAATCGCCTTAAAGTAATTACGCTTTTCACACCTATTTTGAAAATATTTTTTTATCAATATTTCTTGATAAGTTCATTAATTATTATATTATTTGATCTTGTGACCAATGCACAACAATGACATGATGTGGAGATGGATGAGAGTATTCGAGGAACAACAATTTTAAGGCGATTCAATTTTGCGCCTCCATAAAAGCTTTTGAGAACCAAAGTGGAAAAGGCTTTGGGTTGATATATTTCAAAACGTAAGTTAAACTTTTAAAGCTTACGTGACCGAGGAGCCATTTATGGTGATAAATGGGAGATGAGCTAATATGCTCTTACGAAAATTTTGTGAGAAAATGAGTTTCTTCATGAACTCAATTATTTGAGGATTGTGAAAATCATATATTTGAAATGCTCCTAATGTGTGGGATTGGTGATGTCCTTATGTATTATTATTGGTGATGAGACCAATGATGCCTAATTGAGATTTTACATAGCATTCCTATTATACGATAAGGTGTAATGATGCTTAAGAAAGCAAATGTGATATGCACTCCTATTATATAATAAGGTATAATGATGCTTAACAAAATAAATATGATATGCACTCCTATTATACAATTATGGTATAATGGTGTATGATGAAAAAAATAATAATAAGGCATTTGAAAAAAGGGATATGCGATGGACATTCTTATTGTACAATAAGGTACAATGGTGTTTGAGTTAAAAAAAATTCTTAAATGCATATCTCTACATGTATGGAAAGAAAATAGTGGTTCACTAGCTCAATTTGATATTAAAAATTGTAGTACCATGAATTGAGAATTTGAAAAAAATGAATGTGAATTTTATGAGCTAGTAGATGTGTGGGTTGATGTGAAAAAGTGTGAAAAAGAAGGAGTTAATTCCAGTGAAGTTAATACCGTACAGTACCGGATTTGGTACTTGACCGAAATGGTACAGTGTCAATTTTTGTTTCGGTCAAATTCTAGGCATTTCAGTCAAAATCCGGTGTACTGGCCGATTCATCGAAATTTCGGCCAGTACACACTGTAAATTAAAAAAAAAAAAAAAAGGATTCCCCTATTTTCAGTCAAAACGATGTCGTTTTGGGCTAAGGGCTTTTCATGACTTGCAACTGTGTTCGTATAACTCAATTCAAATTTAAAAGGGTAAATTTCATTTTTGATCCTCAATTTTAATGTTATTATAATTTTTATCCTTTAACTTTTTTATGTACTTTTTTAGTCAATTTTTCATTTTTTTTTTGTCTTTTTATCAATTATTTTGTTAAATTTATTTAAATATACACATTTTTAGTCCCTTAATTTAAAGTG